ACAACCGGCAAGGTTTTTTATTGATAAACCAAAAAAGTTTTTTGCCCATCAGAGTACTGATAATGTAAAAAAACACAAAACAATGAAATGAGGTTTCCTTACTCAAACATGCATCAAACTCAGATCTTAAGCCTGAGTCAGGTGTGTTTTATTCTATTTTTAATGTCTCTGTTTATAACATTTATATTTCAAATTCTAACACCAAAATCCCTACGAACTTGGTCATTTCACATCTTGATTTTTTCCATTATGTTTCCACATATAGATCATTGGACTTTTCCTTTCTCTTGTATGTGTCACTCTCTCTCTCTATGTCGCAGATCAATCTCGAATCCAAGAATAGACCAGTCCAATACTGGATTCGGGAAGAAACTTTCACTAAAACTTTCGTAACTCCCTATATAGATGTTGAATTGGAATTCTTGTTGGTGAACTGTATTGCCACAATGGTATCTCAGATCTTACAATCACTAACGAAGAAATTAAGTCGGGACTCAAACACTCATGGATAACTTTCCATAAAAGCTGTTCTTCTATAGAAATTCATCCATAACTTCATGAATCCTACTCTAATTTCTTCATTGTCGATTGCAAGACCTGATAAATCATTGTGACAAAATATTTCCAATCCAACATCTATGTAGACAGTTACGAAAGTTTTAATGAAAACTTCTTCCTCGATTCAGCATTGAACTAGTCCCTTCTTGATTCCGAGATTAGCCTAGGCGAATCTTAGATTGGTCTACGATATATATATGGGCGTGTGGTGTCCTGCTCCGTGTTCTTGTTTCTCTACTCTCTGATCTATCCTTCTCTACCTTTACGTGGTTAGTATTTTCCCGATAAAATCGAACTCATGTTCACCCAAACTTGTAGTTAAGATAGAAGAAGTGATTCTTTTCTTAACCCATTCGCGGCTATATGAATATTGCTTTCTCATAATTCGTGAAAGGTTTCGTTTCTTTATTTGTAGTAAATGTAGTAGTTCAACACAACTTTTATCGATGTTTCTCTTATTAATATGAGCTATAAACATTCCTCTTTCATCGGTAAAAAGCTCGACTCCTTTGATCAAAGGATGGCACAGATATTCAATTTTTTCTATGATAAACTAAAGGGGAAAGAAATTGATTTCTAATACGAGAAATCAATAGAAATCACAAATCAGTTTCTTCCCCTTTGATTATAATAAAATAAAAAAGAGTAAGACATACGAATTGTTGATAATCGGATACTGGTTTGTAACAGATATATTCCTTAGAAAATTGGTTATATTATTCTATTGGTTAAACTTTGAAGTGAAACTGTGTAGTTGAATGACAATTTCTGGTAGTGAGTTTTAAGGAAAAACTATTAAAACAATTCTCTGAGAGATTGTTGAAATTGAATATGGGAAGGCAGCAAAATGTCATCTAACTACATCTATTTTCTGTATGCATGGGCAGCTATGAAGATGATATTCTGTTGTTCTGATCATATTAACAATAGCTCAATGATATAAGGAACAATCGTTTGCTGTTCACAGTTTTCAATAAAATAAACTAAAGAGCAAGATTGTAAAACCTGGGCAGTTGATATGCTAGAGATTCAGGCATTTTATTGTTAAGTTCTAGTAATTATTATTGATCCATTAAATAGATCACGAATGTAATTCATCAATAGATTTGATAAACAAACACATCGAATGAATTTCATTCGGAAGGAGAGGACATCATGGCTTGATTGAATGATAAAGCATAAAAATACCTGTATATAGAGTCAGCCTTGTCTCATCTCGCATATTTTGTAAATTATGTCGTTTTCATTTGGCATGTATTTCTGTTTGTATATAAAAACGTGACATTTCATTAGAAGTTAAAAAAGAAGAACACAATCTTCAATAAATAAGAACTCAAGAAAATTCTGAAACATGTTTCTGTAGTGTATCGAAGCAAAACACATCTGTGAATAGTTTATTTTTCAACCTTCTTACATGATTTGATAGTTCTAATAAATGGCTATCTATTGATATATAAAGTGGAGTAACAGTCTATCTAAGTGGTCCATAATATGATAAACTATTATTACAACTGCCATCATAATGGTCATAGTAAGGCCCAGTTGCCAATAATTTTTTAATCTTTTAGCACAATTTCATAGCTCTAAAGTGGAGTGGGGATCTACCTCGTCGATTCATAATCAGGTACACTATTATTATAATTTTTGTCATAATGGTCATGTATGGCTTATTATATAGCAACATAGGTCCGCTAAGCCCTATCTGTCAGTAGTATTTTTTCAGTCTTTTACCATGGTTCGAAAGCTCTAGTATAGAGTTATCGATTCATGTATAAACTAACTTGACGATTTATGGTGTTGATTCATAATGGCAGATTGACTCCCATATGTGCTATTAGTTTATATGGATATATATAAGATCATTATGTATAAATATCACCATAATCTGCAGAGATAATCGCAACATCCAAAGTTTTGATAAAAATCTTGTGGATTCAAACTAACAGTACTAATTTAGTGTAATAACATCAGAGATTTTTGAAGAATTTTCTCAATACCGTCGTAGCAGGGATAACGTTTTATATAGTTCAACGCAGCAGACTTTCAGTCGCGATGAACATCTGTGGTATACTGTCAATACACATCATATTGGTCTAATTTTAGTACTAAAAATTTTCGGAAACGTAATGTGACTATTCAGTAAGAAAATATTGGAATTCTATCTCTTAAAAATCTCCTGCCTTTGCTTTACCATTGAACTATCAATAATGACATAAATAAAAAAAACTGTCTTAATGTTGAATAAGTTCTAATTTTGTCAATATGAAAAAAGTTCCAGCTGTGTTTATTATTGACTCTTTTCTTCGATGATGATGGTTCGAAAATAAGACAAAAAGACAGTTGAACCCTTGAACACATCATTCATCAAGATTGATTGTACTAAAGAAGCAACTTCAATTGCTAGGATGATATTCTTTAGTAACTAAGAAGCTCGAAATCTAATCTTTTAAGTTGACAGGAAAGTTGTTGGAAAGAACTGAATAAAATAATACGCCTCAGAAATTGTCATGCTCGTTTTTCATCGAACTATAAAAGAACATAGAACATAAAAGAGACTTGTAATTGAGTAAAAAGAAAATACATTTAAATCTGTTGATATAGTTCGACGAAAAACGATTTTCCAGAGATTAAAACATTTCACTCATTCGGAAATGTTTGCCTTATTGAACAGATTTCTTATTCAAAACTCTTTCATGAAAATCTAGGAGGTCGCTTTTGAATATCTGACTTTTTAAGAAAGTATCTCAATTAATCGAATCCTTTTTTCCTCTAATTTTCTCTAATCCTTATCATAGAAGAGAAAAGTTGACAAAGTAAATATCTTGAACTGTATTCACTAAATTATATTGACTGTTTCATTTTTTACTTCTTTATTGTTTTCGTTTATTCCAGCTGAACGGTCTGCTTATACTCTTTGTACTGTATTGATAGAGATGAGTATATCCTTTTCTTTGAAGGAACCGAAGTTAGGTACAACACTAGTAAACTCTCTCGTCGAGATATATTCGTTTATATTTTAGACTTATATGGTGGATATGAGCGTGGGTGTCAGTGTACATAGGTGAGAGTGATGAGAAGACTCACATCCACACCCTATGCTCATAAACATAAAATCGATTATCACAACTATATAAAAGATAATACAAATCAATTAAAATATTGATGTAAATGCTAAATTAAAGAAAAGAAATTATTCTCAATAAGAGAAAAATAAATGAAGTTGATGTAAAAGTTTATTGATTCAAAACGAGTTGATGAATAAATTTCATCTGTCGGTAAAAATTCCATACTAAATGTAACTCACGTAAATAACTAAATATTTGAATTATATAAATTCAACTGAATAGTCATAACTCGTGTTTGGTTATCGATTCATTCTAATTGATGAAGTTTACACAAATTACTTCGAAGATCACTCAAACAACCTCAAAACATATAAACATAATTCAGCCAGCTGTCTGATAGGTCGAAGGCTCAATGTTAGGTCGTTTTTACTAGCAGTTTTCGACCAATAGAAAGATTGTTTTCGAGAAGATCAGAATCTGATCAAAATGAAAACGATTTTTACTTTATAAATTATTCAATTTTGTGTCGTCGAAACCCATCGAATATATGCGGATGAGAAGATTTGAATATGGATACCTACGATTCGCCTTTGTCGAATAGGTTAACTAAACATAGTCTATCGTTATTCTCTGAGAATCATCTTTGTGATTGATAAAAAGATAAAGCTTTAAAATAATTTTTCGTTTCGTTGACTTTTGATAGCCTTTTTTTGATGAGTAAAGATAATATTTTTTATTAAGATAAAAAAAAAAACTTTTTCACATCTTGAACCAACACAAGAGTTTTTTTTTTCTTTTAATTTGAGAATTCGTATAAATCACTTATTTAATGCATACTACATTTGATAATCAATTGATTCGTACAATGAACTTTGAAATCAATATTTAGAATTTTTTAAAGAATTCAAAACGTGAAAATCTGTTATGATTGTCTTAGTCAACATTACGGTCGCATTGCTATTACAGTTTCAATCAGTGAATAATAAATATTACTTAGAAAATTTATGGCATTAGAATGAAGTATATGCCGAACATAAATAATCGTGCAAAGATCATTGAATAAAAGTACAGAATATTTCAAAATTTCGATAGATGATCTGTCTTCGAGTACTCGAAAGTTAGTTTTCAATAGGACACAGTTTTTGAGTGCTCGAAATTCGATGACTATCGCGGGGCTCAAAATTGGAACAAAATCAAGAGGTGAACATTGTGTGCTCAATCAATCTTAATCTCCCAGACAAGTAATAACAATCTTCTCTCAGTGCTAGAGGACCATGTCTGTCTCGATATTGCGTGATTTCCCACAATTTTATTTGTTCTTTTTTTATTTCTCCAAACATGCATTCAATGTTTTAGTGTGCCATCGAAAGGATACGTTTAGTAAGCGAATGAACGATACAGTTCTTCACTCTTTTCCGCTTCTTCCAAGGTATTAAACACAGGATTGAAACGTAACCATTTGCGTGTCCGTAACGGTACTTGTTCCAGTACTTCTCGAGCAACACGTATTTGAACTTCTGGTCGAAATAACCATCGCCGACTATAGCCAAGGACAACCATAGGTCGTGGTTGATCGGTTTGATTGGGTGTTCCTCGATGTATGTGTCGAACATCGCGAATGAGCACATCTCCTCGCTTCATCAAAACTTGTTGCAGCGATATTTCGCCCGATTCAATGCGACGAAGCGCTTCTTCTTTGGCTAACATGTGTGTCGACGGTGCCATTTCCAGCGGTCCATTTTCTGGATTACAATCAACAAGAGAAAAATTAACGGCCAGTTGATACGGTGGGGTTTCTTGTTCCCATTCGGGAAAAAGCGACTGAGTATCACGGTGCAATTCCTGATATTGGGAGCCTCGGCATGGAGTATCAGTAGCTAATTGGCAGAATACTCCATCAGCACCTACAAGTTCAGAAACAATCGCCATTATAATATCATTGTCAATAATTGATACATCGGTCCACGGTGGACAAAAGGGTGGAGTAACATAGTAACGACTTGGTCCTCGGTTTCCTGCTTCACCCTCAGTGTGCACAGTTTCTGCCAGAAGAGGTTGAAAAACTCGATTGAGTTCATCAATTTTATTGACTGGAAAAACATTTCGAATGAGAGTCGCTCCAGTTCGACGAACTTCGTCGGCTCGTTCAATGATCCATGCGGTGTCGAGTGCACGAGTGTCCTCAGCAGCCATGTCGATCTACCTTGTCTTTATCGTCGTTAGAAAAAAATGACAATGCAAAAAACAAGCATCTACCATCTTTCTTATCTATATCATTCATTCTTCATGTAGACCATGCTTGCTGCAAAAAAGCATCGCGACTGCCTGTAGTTTAGTAAGTATCAGCTAGTGTCCTGCCAGGACGATATTTCTCGATCCCCATATTTTCATTCTCGTAAATAAAGATGCAAGCCGATGCACAGCAGTGGATGTTGATGTGTTTATGGATGAAGGTGTGGGTATGGGTGCGGTTGTGGGTGTGGGGGTGTCGGTGTTTGTGGATGTGGATGTGAATAAAGAGAAGACAGCACACATTCGTGCGCACACTTCATATCCATACCATTTCTTGTGAATCCAGTGCTCATATTGGAGACATTCCTCTATGAAATAGGAGAAACATGCCCTTGGTGCTAATGAGCAGCTAATATATGAATATGCGCCAGTCCCAGTTAATCGGATATCAGCTAGGCTACACGTCGAGGTCAACTGGGTTTCTATTTACCAATTAAAAACTGCATCTCGAATATACCTAACATAAATGATAATTAGTAGGTTTATAACAAGGAATAATAGAGTTTAATACGGTAACATTAAATGTGTTCCCAATCAGGCTGGTATTAGTCGAGCAGTTGAAAACTGGTGCTAGTGTATTTCTACTAATATGGCTGCTAGGAAAATTTTCGCATTACCTGCTCAAAAAACCGACTTATCTGAATTGAGACTTGGCTGCAAGTGTATTGTACACTTATTGATATAGTGCTACGAGTAAATGATGTGATTGCTAGTGGCTACGCATAGAATGATCTCAAAGGCAACAAATCTATAGACAACAAACCAGTGCACCAATCGCTGTAACGTGTAATATAACTATGACTCATGATCTGAATGGACAAATAAAATCCTAGATTAATCTGATCAATATAAGCTGCATTAAGGTCTCTACTGTCTCTTGTACGGATATAGGCAGATTCAGAAGTGTTTTTGGAGCCAAAATCAGTTTGTCAGATATAGTTGTGTCATAAATATATATATATATACGCACTTCGAATAGAATTCAAATTGAGAAATTTTACTGTATCTTAATTTTCTATTAATTGATCGTCGATGATGATAACATGAACACTAAATTCTGCGGTAAAAAATCTTGCATCAGAGTGTAGAAGAAAGCTCTTGCCATTACAGAGTAGGGCACGGCAGATGATAGACTAAGAAAAAAGTTGCAGGATAGGCTAAGGCAGTGAATTTTGCAGGCAGAGTAAGATCAATTTACCAAAATTTTTACAGAATATGTTACAGATTGAAAAACTACGGTGTTCTGCAGGCATCTAACCCACATTCACACCTATACTCTTACGAATATCCACAAACTCGTATTATGACCTCTCTTTTTGCATACGCAAAACGAGTCATAATTTGAAGATTCATACGAATGAAGCTCAGCTGATTATCGTTTGTGATGTACTTGGTAGTCGTCAGCCATCTCTAGATATTAACGACAAATGTTGTTCATCAAAACCGATATAGATTGTGAGAACGTCCAAACAGTTCCTTTAAGCTATTTGATCGGCTGAAACATCTTTTGTCTCTTTTGAAAAGCTTGAATATAAAAGCACGTTCTCTTTGCCTAATGGAAGAGATATTATTCCATTCGAGGACAAATCAACCTTATTTTCTTAAAATTCATTTGTATTGGAGTAGCGTCGAGAATGAGAACAGTCAACTTCTATCGATCTTGAATCAATAGAATTTCAAAATCATGAAGATTTTACCATCTACTTCATTATCACAATGAGAGAGCAAACATGAGCATTTCTGTCTATTGACTGAATAGTCTAAACATCCACAGTCAATAGTACACGTAATGAAAGTAAACATTGCTTTGTCTTCCAATCATGAAGAAAATAAACGAAGCCAAATAAACAATGTATAAACCGGTGATTCACATAACTTTTACCAAATATGTCAAGTATAAGTGTCGTAGATTTCGTTTGTCTTCATGTTGAAAGTTCAGAAGGAATATTACCAAACAAAGAAATTATAGGAGAAGAACTCATCTAGTGTCAGTAAGATTAAAAATTGTTCTAGGTATTTACTATATTAGACTGATGTCTTCGGTCGCCGAATGCCTCTTAAAAACTTCCATCGAAATTATGGTATGTTGTTTTTATAAGTCGGTCATTTTTGGTAAAATATCACTGAAATTGACGACCCCGTCCAAAATGAAAACTAGATTGTTTTCTTTTCTTGGACTCTGAATTACCTGTGGCATATCCAAGTCTCTGTTACATACTGTGAGTCACAGTCATATGGTGTTCTCAGATGCCGTGGTTAGTGAAAACAATCTTTGCTTGCTATCCATTCTTTTAGTTGTGTGCCATTTCTTGACTTGCATTATCAGAAAAGAGAATTGCAAGTGTTCTTTAGATTTTATACAAGAACAATTGAATTGGCTGATGGAAAATGAATGGCTACTTTTCTTCCATGATGATATAATATGTGTTTTTACTTCAAGTTCTATCACTATAAAATAAGTTTTAAAATTATAACATTTTCAGTTTGACTTTCTCAATTTTAGTATGGTAAAACTAGAAAAATCAAAACGTCCACAACATTTTTTTTTTCATTAGTTCAAACTTCCTAGAAAAAGGTACAATTCAGTACGTGCAGTATGGTATCCCTCGTCTTATAGCGTCATTAATAACTTATAACTATGTTACTAATACGATAAATAGATACCGTATTGATCAAGTGCATGAAGAAGCTATTTGGGCGGCATCAACTCGAGTTTTGTATGAATAGTTTTTGTGCATGGTAGTGAGCGAGCAATTTTCTTGTTTATTTTTACCAATTCATGAGTTATACTAAAAAAGTGCAAACGTTTTCTTTCTTATGTTCTTTATGTCAACAGACCACGTAGGGCATTCTTGTTTACGCTTGTTTTGTAACCAATACTGACAATGAATTCTTTCTTCCTATTCATTCAAGTACGCTAACGACGAGTGTTTGCATTATAACCTTGATGTTTCGCGTTTTTTGACTCCATTTTTGTTTGTATAATGAGAAGAAAAGAAAAGGAGAATTAATAAGTATATAAGACACAATATATTTATGTTCTATATTATTTTAACGTACTTTTAATGAAAAAAGATATCAACATGAATGTACTGACCTATTTCATTTTGTGTCTGTATGCACGTAAGAAATTGTTCATTTGCTTCAGTTCTTTGGGTGGTAGTCTCATCTTTGTCGTTCTTAATATCAATACAGGTGCTTTTCTTTGAAGTTATTTGAATTGTTTTCATGATAATTTTCTTGTCTGGTTTTCTGCGATTGAATAGACAACCAAATGTATCAAGTTTCAACTATGCCTCGAAAATTTTCCCCAATACTTAGCATCACTCAAGTGTTGCATTCATCTGTGTCCATTCATTCGCTCGTGTATGAACAACGTGCTAAGCTTCTTGCAGACAAATGCAATTCTGAAGATGTTCATCATTCACCTCTTCAGGATCTTATTCATCCCAATAGCATACTTGATCATTTTGGCTTTGTTCTTCGCTCCCATTCTCTCTTCTATTGCTCTGTTCCCAAAGTAGCGACACGAACATTTCTGGCTTTGATCACTTATCTTCATATAAATGATGATCTCACTGCTTTGCGCGTGTCCAACTTTACTAATGAACAACACAATACACGACTAATGAAAGATTCAGCGCTGTTCAATGCTGATCATTTAAGACAAATATTGGCGCCTTCGACTACGGTAAGACAAAATTGTTTGGTTTCTGTTTTCTTTTCATTATTGCATCTCCAGGACAAAAGTAATGTATATTTGTTGTCTCCTCTGTTTATTTATGTTTTAAAGTGTAAATCAAAATTACGCACGCATAAAAAGCAAAAAAAAGACAAACAAGTGAAATGGACAACAGCGGCACGACTAATGAGAGCATGAGCCCAATCATCCGTATGCTGCTTACTGAAAAGAGACATTCTGTGCGAATGTTTTGAAGAGCTAATTACCAGGAATAATGACATTTTTACTACACTTATGTCATAGTTGCTATTCATTTTTCGTCCTAACGTTAGATTCTATAGCTAATATAATCTCTTGAAACAAATTATTCTGCAATAAGAAGAGTTAGTAGTATCCCTTATTCAGCGCTTAATAACATAATTATATAGTACAAAAATTTGTAACAGATGTGCATTATTTCACGAAAACTACAGTTGCGTAGAAGGCATCAAATTCTCCACCATAATAATGAAGTCAAACTGTTACTATATGAAAAAGAAAAAAAAAACATTTTCTTCTGTCAACACTACAGTTTAACAAAGAATGATAAAAGGACAATGCAAAAATTTCAATTTACACACTTCGAGGATATTATATGCATGTCTTGAAATATTTGAATTTCGAGAACTCGAATTAGAGAAGAATAAATACAAAGTAGTCGAACGTGGCAGTAGCAAGAAGAATTTATTAATCAAAATACTGGAAAGCAAATTCAAGACGAAAAAATGAATATAATCAGATTAATTGACGAGAAAAAGTCATATGTGGGACCTTGACTTGAAAGGTACAGGCACATTGTTCATAGAAAAAATTCAATTTGGTATCATTACACAGTCAATTAAAAAGAACGATTTTAGTCATCTAAAATTCACTCGGCTAAGTCATTTTTCGAAATGCTCCAATAACTTTGTCTTGTTGAAAAGAGAAAATATTCTATCGAAAAATTTTCGTTGCTATGATATCAGCTGATGATACATCGTGATTCCAATGATATTATGAGATTCTCTTATGTATACAACATATCTTATAACTATTTAGTGCTTTGTCCGTTTACTTGGTTTTCAATACCTATTAGTCAACTTGTTTTTCTCAACTTGGTTTCAGCATAGGGAAATATTTACAACGTGATTTGTAATCAGAAACGTGAATACCCCTTCCTTTAAGAACTAACCGTTTCTTGCATCAATCTTGCCATAAACATTAAAGATTGATACGATAAGCTTATGCCACATTTGATACTTCAACAAACGACATTTTATTGTATTTACTTTATTAAGAGTGAAGTAAGTTAGTCCTAAACACTTTTTATTCGTGTACGAGACAAAGAGAATGACGAGTATTAACTAAAGTTTGATCTCAACACTCAGAACATATCTATTGGAGATATTTTTTGACAAGAGTTTACTTGGAAATATGTTCTGGTAGCGAGAGATGAAAATAGAGTCCAAACCGTAGGGAAGATAGGAAGTATGCCATCCCACATCTCTCCCACTATTTGCTCTTATCTGCTCATAGCTAAAATATCTTGTCATTTGAAACGAAAGCTATCTCTGCGAATAAATCTTGTTCAACAGACAATTTGTCACTATTTATATGGTTAAACCTTCAACGCTATACTTTTTAGAATAATTCTCAATTGCCTATCGATGATCGTCTTTCGATTCTCACCGCGCTTCGATTACTTTTGAGCAACACATCCGATACCTCCACTTTGGACCTGTGGAAAATGTATAGAGACCATATCTTTCCTCTAATTCGCCTCCGCTCTCTTTCTGATAGTTCTGTTGTCCTGACAGATACTTTCACTCGTGTTATCTTCGTTCGTCATCCATTAGAGCGCCTGGCATCTGCTTACACTGACAAAATTATCTCACTTCGAGATCCACCTTTCTCACTCTATGACCATATTCGTCGAATGATTTGTCGAAAATTTGCTTCATTCTATTTGAAACCAGACGAAGCAGCTTTTTATCATCCGAGAAAAATAATACCAACGATGACCTATGAACCATGTGAAAAAGTTGTGCCTTCATTTCAACATTTTCTCGAGATCGCCATTTTCAGTTCATTATCAACGGATGTTCATTGGCAACCCTATTCGTCACTATGTCAGGCGTGTACACTCAAATACAATTTTATTGGCAAGTACGAAACAATGCAAGCTGATCTCCACATGCTCATGTCACGTATGAATATAACATTGGCCGACTGGTATTTCCATCGTCGTTTTTCCACTGGTCGAACAAGAGAGCAATATCAATCGATGTATAGCAACTTGCCTGATCGACTCATCTGCCATTTGAAAAAATTCTATCGAAATGATATTAAGCTATTCGACTACCGATTAGAAGACTACTTGCCTGGAAATCGAACACTTTCCTGCTCTTATTAGGTTTGTCTACGATCTTTTCTTTAAAATTTAAAAATCCACTGCCATCTCTATAATAGAAGAACAACTGATCTTACGGCAGATAATCAATAGTTTTTTGTAAATGTAATGCTAAAATGAATTTCATTCTTATACTATACCGTACTATTTTTGTGATCTGTGTGCTATTACCGATGAAGACTTCGTTATTTTATTCTTTTGAAATAAACAAATATAGTTAAAAATGAGTAGAGATTTTTCTTTTCCGACTGCCTATATTAATAAAGATAGAATATTTTAGCCGCCTTTTCTGAAGTCGACAAGATTTAATGTTGCTGCTTCCGCACGATCTAGTTGGTGCATGCGGTTCTTCTTTTCATCCACACTCATCCACTCAAAATTAAGCGCATTGTTCGATATTCGGACTATCGTTGAGTGTTGCGCCGAAAACATCTACTGAACTTCAATTGACTTGAAGAGATGCAGTCATGAACAACGCATAATATCATTGAGTCAGTGGCGGATTCGGCAAAGCATCGTGTTAAGTACTTGAAGTCAACACATAGAAAGTGAAGAGCATTGTGACTTTCGAACTTACCACAGATGTAACAGCAGTCTGACGAGAAATCGATTCTTACATGACACGATCCCCATTCTTACTGATAGATGTGCTGTCACCAAGGAACAGTCAATTCAGACAAGTTGTCTCATCAATCACGTGGATGCTATACAAATCAGAAATTCCTCTGTTCAACCTATCAAGTGTACTAACAACCTACCAATCGAGGAAGAGAGAAATTAACTTGATTACAGACTATTCGAACAACGGTCTCACTAATAACGAACATTCCTTGCATAAGTTCTTTGGCTTTACCTATTATTGCGATGATGTTTCATCATCAGATTAATGTTTGATGCACTGGCGAGTTCGGCCATCAATAGCGACGAGATTGCTCCGTAATCAGCAACGATCGTCTTCTACAATCCGGATCCATATTGGATAAACTTCTTGTGAATAACTGTCAATGACAGCAGCGCTTGACTTTGGTCTCGATTTCCAAAGTGCATCACTATTGACGTGAAATCATGGTGGCTGAATATTGTCGTTTGAAGTGTGTACGAATACAGGAGAAAAGAATAGAACCTACATCTGTACGCACACAAAAATTCACACCCTTTCTTGCCAACGCAGTACTCATATTGGAGACATTCTTCTATGAAATGGGACAAAAATGCACTTGACGCCAATGAGCAGCCAATCTATAGATATACACCAGCCACAGTTGACTGAGTATCAGTTTGATTGAACATTGAGGCCGACTGGGATTTACTCATGTGAAAATCTAAGCGATAATGCTAGTTTAAAATAGCTTATATTTTCACTTCGAAGTGCTTCGAACATATTTAAGCGCTTATCAACGATTAAAGCAGTAGTAAAAGCTCTTTCAAGTCGTTTATGGTGGCTGAAAATGTCAAATTATAAGTCCTAATCAACTGTTCAGCATTCATCTATTGGACAGCAGCTAATAAGCGCTTAAATATAACGAAATTCTAAAGTGCTTTTCAGCAGCATGAACCTTCAGCGGCTGCAAAACGCTGAATTTTGTTGCATTTAAGCTTCATAGCAAACGAAGGATAACCGATTGCGAAGCGTAGAAATTATCGTGAAGACACATTGGATGAAATGTAAACATGGGTAGCTTATAACGATGCCTCATGTAACTGTACTAAAGATTAAAAGTTTTTAGTAAGAAAACAGCTATAACCTGACGGTTAGCTTAGAATTTACCAGGATAAAATAATTTGCCCTGCCCTGCTGATGATCTCTGCTGTCTATCGCAAGCGACTTTTTGTTGTGAATTCAATATCTCAATAAATAAAGATTCGCTTCCGCTGAAACTTTCAGAATATTCTAAGAGTCATCAAACTTAACAATATAGCGAATTCCAATGTCAAAATTGCATAATTCTATTTTTCAGTTAATACCTAAAGATAGGTGATAAATCGGCTCTCGAGGCAGCCTATGAGTACGAACTCTTTTAGAATTTTTCTAATACTATCGATACTTCCTTATGGGTTCAATATGAATTCAAACGGCGAATTACAATTGGGTAGTTCTCTCGTAAGCCAAAATATTAGAACTCAATAATAGTTACAAAATTCGTCAATACATCAATATTAATCAATTGGGTATCTTCCCTTTTCCCTCACGGTATTTTAAAACACTTACAAGTGTTTAAAAGAGCCAATAATTAAAGAATAAATAACCTATGGTTTTGCTTCGTCAAATACTGAAGTTATCCTCGAGAAGATGGTTTTTTTTTCTTTATTTTTTAAAGTTATCAATATAAGTTTATTAAAAAATACTCGTTTTATAATGTAAACTAGAAATAGAATGCAATATAATTTTTTTTCTAAAATACAAAAAAAAATTCATCGTTATTAGAAATATTTTATATAGGGTGGTGATGGTAAATTTGGATCTGTATAACTATAAAGAGCGGCTTGTTTAAATGGACATGGTGTTTCACGCCATAAATAACGAAGACCAAATAGTTGCTTTCCGACACATGAACTTGATATTGTTAATGTAATTGTCAAAGAATATTTACTAGATATAGTTGCTGGTACCCATAAACTATCATCTTTACATTCGGAACCTTGACAACAAACTTCGAATCCATTTGGATTTCTTAAATCAATATTTTGTACAGCAGTATA